TGAGGCTTCACAAGATCGAACAATTGACACCAAGTAACTTATGGTGCCCTTCCTCTAGCGCCAAACTGTTGACGAGCGTTTTCGGTCAACGGTTAAGATAAAAAAATATCAAAAGCAAAAGATTGAAAATGAAAGGATGGTTCGGTTTAATTACGACTTTATTAAGCGATCACGAGGTCGGCCTCTCGTACGAGGTTGGCACTTGCGATATACTTACAATTCTTACAACGAGTTTCATACAGTTTTTAGAAAAAGAAAGTAGGGAGAAGGCAGAGTTAGTTGGATTTCAACAACCCAAAATAAATGGAATGATCTGCTATTTATAGCAGTCTTTAATGTTGCACTATTCAGCTATTGTTCACCGGTCTTGTCGCACAGTGACTTTGGAGAGCAGTCCGGCGCCCCTCTGACAAGTATTTAATGCGATTTGAGGTTTCTTCAATCATTACCTGTCAGACATTAAATACCAGCATGGGGAGCATTTAATGCTGGCAGGCTTTGTTGAGTAGGCTTACTGGTAGGGTGTTAGGCTATGATTACTTGTCCCATCGTTCAATGATGGCCTTCCAAATGGGAATATTTTAATGCTTATCGAAGCCTACACCTTCCCTCTGGTCGGCCCCCCTCAGATTTTTAGACCGGCACCTCACTCGAAAGTGTTCGTGAGACCGTGAATGATCTTCTTTCTGTCCGGCTCCCATCCAGGCCGGCCCTTGTCCTGACTGATCTTGGTGCCGGACTGGGAGAACGTTCCTATGGCGGTTCTGCACATCTTTAATCCTCGGTTCAGCTCGGCACCTTCTCACCAGGCCAGGTTTTCAGCTCGATCCCGAGGGGTTGAGTACCCGATTCAATCTGGGCCAACTCGGCTATCAACAATTATAATATAATATGTTATAATATAATACATTATAATATAACATATGTTATACTATAACATATAGTATAACATATGTTATAATATAACATATATTATAACATGTGTTATAATATATAACATATATTATATAATATAATATAACATATGTTATATTATAGGGTTTAGGGTTTAGGGTTAGGGTTTAGGGTTTAAAATATATATTATATTATATAATATAACATAGTATATTATAACATATAGTAATATATTAGAACATAATATATTATATTATATTATAACATACAGTAATATATTAGAACATAGATGTTATATTATATTATAACATATAGTAACATAGTATGTTATATTATATCATAGCATCTATGTTATAATATAACATAGATGTTATGTTATGTTATAACATAACATCTATGTTATATTATAGTATATAGTAATGTTATGTTATAACATAAGATCTATGTTATATTATAGTATATAGTAATGTTATATAATATAACATAGTATATTATAATATGTTATAATATAATATGTTATAATATAGCATATGTTATACTATAACATATAATATAACAAATAGTATAACATATAGTATAACATATAGTATAACATATGTTATATTATAACATTTATAATATAACATATGTTATACTATAACATATAGTATAACAAATAGTATAACATATAGTATAACATATGTTATATTATAATAACATATGTTCTAGTATAACTTATGTTATATTATAACATGATAGGTTATATTATAATAATATATGTTATATTATAGTATATAGTAATGTTATATAATATAACATAGTATATTATAATATGTTATAGTATAATATGTTATAATATAACATATGTTATATTATAACATGTGTTATATTATAACATATATTATATTATATTATATAACATAGTATATTATATTATATTATAACATATAGTAATATATTAGAACATAGATGTTATATTATATTATAACATATAGTAACATAGTATGTTATATTATATCATAACATATGTTATAATATAACATAGATATTATGTTATAACATATATGTTATAATATAACATATATGCTATGTTATGTTATGACATATATATTATAATATAACATATATGTTATATTATAGTATATAGTAATGTTATATAATATAACATAGTATATTATATTATAACATATATGTTATAACATACCATAGATTATAACATTTATGTTATAACATAACATAGATGTTGTATGTTATGTTATAACACAACATCTATGTTATGTTATAACATAACATCTATGTTATAATATAACATATATGTTATATTATAGTATATAGTAATGTTATATAATATATGTTATAATAGAACATATGTTATATTATATATTAAAAAAACATAACATAGTATATATAGTCAATTGGACTAATATATTATATTATCTACAACATATGTTATATTATAAAATAACAATGTCACAATATAACATATGTTATTATATAACATATGTTATAATATAACATAGTAATATAATAACATATAGTAATATATTACTATGTTGCTATATCAATAGTATTTCATACAAAGTTGGATCAATTATTCAAGGAGTTTCTCTAAAAAAAAAATATTATATAGTATACTTTATATCATTTATGTTATAACATATACTAATATAACATATGTTATATAATAAACATATAGTATATAATATATTGAATTTATAATATATGTATATGTAT